CATTGAGTGTCTGTGGCTTCTCTGGGCACACTGTGCGATCTGTCAGTGGATCTAACCTTCTGGGGTCTGGAGGACTGTGGCCCTCTTCTCACAGCTCCACTAGGCAGTGCACCAGTGGGGGCTCTGTGTGGGAGCTCCGACCCCACATTTCCCTTTTACACTGTCTTGGCAGAAGCTCTCCTAAGGGCTCCACCCATGCAGAAAACTTCTACCTGGACATCCAGGCATTTCCATACATCCTCTGAAATCTAGGTGGAAGTTCTCAAACCACCATTCTTGACTTCTGTGCACCTTCAGGCTCAAACCACGTGGAAGCTGCCAAGGTTTGGGGCTTGCACCTTCTAAAGCCACGGCCTGAGCTGTACCTTGGCCCCTTTTAGCCACAAATGGAGCAGCTGGGACACAGGGCACCAGGTCCCAAGGCTGTACACAGCAGGCGGACCCTGGGCCCAGCCTGTGAAACCATTTTTTCCTCCTAGGCCTCTGTGCCTGTGATGGGAGGGGCTGCAACAAAGGTTTCTGACATGCCCTGGAGACGCTTTCCCCATTGTCTTAGTGATTAACATTCAGCTACTTGTTACTTATGCAGATTTCTGCAGCTAGCTTGAATTTCTCCCCAGACACGGGTTTTTCTTTTCTATTGCATCATCAGGTTGCAAATTTTCCTTTTATGCTCTGCTTCCCTTTTAAACATAAGTTCCAATTCCAAACTATATCTTTGTGAATACATAAAACAATGCTTTTAAAAGCACCCAAGTCAGGCCAGGCGCGGTGGCTCAAGCCTGTAATCCCAGCACTTTGGGAGGCTGAGACGGGCAGATCACGAGGTCAGGAGATCAAGACCATCCTGGTTAACACGGTGAAACCTCGTCTCTACTAAAAAAATACAAAAAACTAGCCAGGCGAGGTGGCGAGCGCCTACAGTCCCAGTTACTCGGGAGGCTGAGGCAGGAGAATGGTGTAAACCCGAGAAGCGGAGCTTGCAGTGAGCTGAGATCCAGCCACTGCACTCCAGCCTGGGCGACAGAGCAAAACTCCGTCTCCAAAAAAAAAAGCACCCAAGTCACCTCTTGAACACTTTGCTGCTTAGAAATTTCTTCCACAAGATGCCCTAAATCATCTCTCTCAAGTTCAAAGTTTCACAAATCTCTAGGGCAGGGGCAAAAAGCAGCGTCTCTTTGCTAAAACATCAAGAGTCATGTTTATTCTAGTTCCAACAAGTTCCTCATCTCCAGCTGAGCCCACCTCAACCTGGACTTCACTGGCCATATTACTATCAGCATTTTGCTCAAAGCCATTCAACAAGTCTCTAGGAAGTTCCAAACTTTCCCACATATTCCTGTCCTCTTCTGAGCTCTCCATCTGCCCATCACCCAGTTCCAAAGTTGCTTCCACATTTTCAGGTATCTTTACAGCAGCATCCCACTCTCTGTACCAATTTACTGTATTGGTCCATTCTCACACTGCTAACAAAGACATCCCCAAGACCAGGTAATTTATAAAGGAAAGAGGTTTAATTGACTCACAGTTCAGCATGGCTGGGGGGTACTCAGGAAACTTACAATCATGGCAGAAGGGGAAGTAAACACATCCTTCTTCACGTGGCAGCAGCAAGGAGAAGTGCCGAGCAAAAGAGAAAATGCCCCTTATAAAATCATCAGATCTTGTGAGACTTACTCACTACCACGAGAACCTCATGGGGGAAACTGCCCCCATGATTCAATTGTCCCCACCTGACCCCACCCTTGAAATGTGGGGATTACAATTCAATGTGAGATTTGGGTGGAGACACAGCCAAACCATATCATCTGGCTTCTTTCTCTTGGCAGAATTATTCTAAGATTCATCCACCTTACTGAGTTATATTTATAGTTCAATCGTTTTATTCCTGAGTAGTATTCCAATGGATAAGAGACATATATAGCAAATTGTTTTTCCATTCATCTGTTTATGGACTTTGAGTTGTTTCTACTTTTCATCTATTACACATAAATTCTTTCGATATTTACATACAAGTCTTTGTGTGGACATATGCTTTCACTTCTCTTGGCTAAATATCTAGGAGTGGAATTGCTGGGTTATAGGGTAGGAATATGTTCAACCTTTTAACAAACTGCCAAATATTTTTCAAAGTGGTTGTTCCCTTTACATTCTCCTGGGCAATATATGTGAGTTCTAGGTACAACACATCTAAGCAACACTTGCTATGGTCTTTTCAATTTTAGGCATTATAGTGAGTAGTATAGTATAGTGGTATCTCATTTTGGCTTTAATCTGTAGTTCCCTAACGACAATGACAAATGGTGTTTAGAGCATCTTTCACACATGGCTTACATGCCATGTGGACACCTTCTTTGGTAAAGTGCCTGTTTAAATATTTTGCCCATCTCTGAACTGAGCAGTCTTCTTAGTATTAATTGTAGGAGCTCTTGATAATCTGGATATAATATTTTTGTCAGATATATGTTTTTCAAATATTTTCTCCTAGTCTGTAACTTGCCTTTCATTTTTGTGACAATGTCTTTGGAAGAGCAAAGTTTTCAATTTTGATGAAATCCAAATGATTTTTTTTCTTTTAGAGTTGATGTTTTCTGTGTCCTCTTAAGAAATCTTTGCCAAGTTGAAAGTCAAATAATATTTTATCCTATGTTTTCCTCTATAAGTTTTAGAGTCTCAGGTTTTACATTTAGATCTGATATACATTTTGAGTTAATTTTTGTGCATGGTATAAGGAATGAATCAAAATTTATTCTCTACATATGGTATGAGTTGTCCTGTATCATTTTTGTTGAAGAGTCTCCTTTCACTCAGAGAAATGCCTTGGTATCTTTGTCAAAAGTCAGTTATCATGTATGTGTAGTCTATTTATACTGTCTCTATTCTGCTCCATTCATCTGGACATCTAACTTCACAGAAGTATCACTTTTGTTTTTAGAAATAGGGTCCTGCTCTGTAGCCTAGGCTGGAGCACCAGTGGAGCAGTCATAGCTTACTGCAGCCTTAAACTCCTGGACTCAAACAATCCTTCTGCCTCAGCCTACCAAGTAGCTAGAACCATAGACACACCACTACACTCAGCTAATTTTTATTTTTTGTAGAGACAGAGGGTTCTCACTGTGTTGCCTAGGCTAGTCTTGAACTCCTGGCCTCAAGCAATCCTCCTGCCTCAGCCTCCCTAAGTGCTGGGATTACAGTCATGAGCCACCCCTCTAGGCCCACACTGTCTTAATTTCCTAGAATCTATTAAGTTATAAAATCAGGTAGTCTGGGTCCTTCAATTTTTTTCTTTTTCAAATATGTTTTGGCTATATCTCAGATCCTCTCCATTTTCATATTAATTGTAAAATCTAATTGTCAATTTCTGAAAAAATAAGCAAAATCTACTATTTGTTGAAATTGCATCAAATCTATAAACCAACCTGAGAACAACTGATCTCCATACAATGTTTTCTAGTCCATGAGCATGGTGTATCTGTACATTTATTTATGTATTCTTGAGGTTCTCTGAACAATGCTTTGTAGTTTTAATAGCGTGCAACTCTTGCACATCTTTTGCTAAATTTACCCCTACAAATTCCATATTTTAACACTTTTGTAAATGATTTTTAAATTTTAATTTCCTGTTATTTGTGGCCTATATAAAAACACAATTATATTGAAATTAAAACTGCTATCTTTCTAAACTCATTTGTTCTAGTAGCTTTTATGTACATTCTCAAAGATTTTCTACATAATTAAGCATGTCATCTGCAAATAAAGACAGCTTTATTTCTTCATTTTCAAACTCTATGACTTTTATTTCTTTTTGTGACCTTATTACACTGGGTAGAACAGAAATCAGCAAACTTTATGGCCTCTACACCAAACTGATTCCACTACGTGTTTCTGTACAGCTGCAAGCCAAGGGTGGTTTTCACATTTTTAAATGTTTCATAGCAAATTGAAGCAATACTATTTCATGCACATGCAAACTACATGAAATTCAAATTTCAATATCCATAAATAAAGTACTACTGGAAGAGAACCACACTGATTTGTTTACATACTGTCTATGGCTGCTTTCATGCTGTAGCAGCAGAACTCAGTACTTGCAGCAGAGACCATCCGGCCTTTATAAAAAATGTTTGCGGGCTCATGGGCTGATAAGAATAGTCTTCCTTCTCTTAATACTTAATCCCTCTTAACTCTTGTTTTTTTAACAAGGAGATTATTTTTGTTTATGTGATCAACAAAGATAAGGTTTTGTCACACTCAAGGCTTTGGAAAAAGAGGCACTCTCTATGTAAAACAGCAGTACAAAATGAAACAAGCTTTTTATTTTTTGTCTTCCAACGTTTATCTTAGGTTCAAGGGGTACATGTGCAGGTTTGTCACATGGGTAAACAGTGTGTCATGGGGGTCTGGTGTACAGATAATTTTGTCACCCAGGTAATCAGCCTAACAGGTAGTTTTTCAATCCTTACCTTTCTCCCAACCTCAACCCTCAAGTAGACCCCAACGTCCCTTCTTTGTGTCCCTGTGTACTCAGTTTTTAGCTCCCACTTATAAGTGAGAACATGCAGTATTTGGCTTTCTGATCCAGAGTAAATTCACTTAGGATAATGGCCTCCAGCTCCATCCAACTTCTTAATTCTTAGACCATGGATGAGAAACAGCTATTTGGTTTACAGTAGAAGCAGGAATATACCCAAGACTCATTTAATATTTATTTTCCACATATGCATGAACTGCTTTCAGATTAATGTAGAACAAAATCATCTTCACTGTTAATCTTGACTTCAACAAAACTAAGACAATAGCATGATACCTAAAATATATATCAAGCCAATTTGTAGAAAGTACACAATAGGTAATAGGAACCATATCAATAGTTTTTGATAAAACTTAAAGTTCTACTAAAAGTCTGCTGCTTTTTAAGGAGAATCACTATAAAAATCATCACATTATATACATATATACATATATATATATATGATCTATTTCAACAAAAAGTAACATACCCATAATAAAAGGCAGCCATAAGCATATAAGTCTGAACTTGGAGAAGCAGGTTTTCCCATTTTCAACTCAGGTGATATCAAACTCAAGTCACCAACCATCATGTTCACTGAGGCTCGCTGACTCTGCAAAAACAATATTTTAAATATTTTAGATACAACACAATTGAGGTGACTTTCTGTGAAGTACTCTGCATTTAATCAATACAAAAAAAAAACAAATTCATTTTAAATATTTCATTCTCTTGCTTTCAAATATTTTTACCAATTTCTGCTATTATAAATTGCTCTTAAAATCAGTGTTAAAATAATAACTATGGGACTTTTTTTACATTCATTTTGTAGACTTGAACAGATTTAATACTAACAATCACTGATTCTGTGATTAAATATTTGATACTCTTTTTTAAAAATAAATTTCACAAGAGTAAGCAGCAGTACTATGTTCTAATTCTGAAAATTCTAAATAATTCATTTAAGAACTGAAATCCTACAAAGCACTTTCCTTCCTTACTGACCATTCTCTAAATATACCATTTCTAACATGTCAAAGATGATGTGACAATAGCATGAACCCTAGATTCAGGCAGATCTTGGTTACAATTCCCCACTCTCCCATTTATTTGCTGTGTGACCTAGGGCTTTAACCTCTTTTTTGTCCATTTTTAAAATTTATTTTTAATTTTTATGGGTACATAGTAGGTGTAAACCTCTTTGAGCCTAAATTAATTTGTAAAATGGAAATAATGTCTACCTTACAGAGATATAATGTCTAGCAGGTATCACTAAGTGTTAATTATCTTTTCTCTAGCTATGATTTTGATCTTTGCTTCTCAAAGTATGGTCCAAGGGCCAGAAGCTACAGCATTAACTGGTAGCTTGTTAGAAATGCAGATGATCCACTGCAGAAACGCTGAACACTAATTTGCATTTTAACATGAACCCCAGGTGAGTCATATGCACTATAAGGTCTGAAAAGCAATGATCTTGACCTCAGACTACTTTTCAAATTTATCTTCCTGATGATCACTTCAATCTAAAAATTGCATGGAAAATGTAGCAAAAGGTAAGTTTGATCAATATTTCAGAATAAGTATTTTTAACTGAAGATTTAAAACAATGTTTTGAGGAATAATAACGGGATGAATAAGTATTTAAAGAGAAGAGTAATTATTGTAGTCATATCTACAGTTATGCAAATGGTATGCTCAAAAGGTAAACTAACCAGAATCCCTAAAAGCTGAGATCTTTTAAAATTCATAATTTAGTTATATTTCTTAGGATATCTTAATTTTCAGTTAAACTAATGTAATAAAGTAAATATTTCAGAAAATCAATCTGTATAAATCCTGTACAATCTGTACAATCCAGCTTTTGATTACAGTTGCAGTTTCATTTTCTCATCTTTTTGAGCTACCATATGAAAACCATTAAGACTACATATACTCCAGTAGCATTACCTTATGACTTGCAGATGACCAAAGCATAAAAGCATTATAACATATACTAGTTAAAGGGAATTGCTCAGATAGTAACAGATATTGGCAAGGATGTAGAGAAAACAAAATCCCTATATATTACTGCTAAGAATTTAAAATGATGTAGCCATTTTGGAAAACAGTTTTGCTCCTCAAAAAGTAAAACAATATAACCCAGTTAATTCCACTCCCAAGAGAAATGAAAACATGTCCACACAAAAAAATTGTATGCTAATGCTCATAGCAGCATTATTCATATAACCAATAAGTGTAAACAACCCAAATGTCCAGCAACTGATGAATATATAAACAAAATGTGGTGCAGCCATACAATAAAATATAATTTGGCAACAAAAAAGAATGGCATTCTGATGCAGTCAACAATGTGGATGAACTGTGAAAACACTATGCTAAGTGAAGTTAGCATAAAAGTCCACGTACTGTATCATTCCATTTACATGAGATGTCCAAATGGGCAAATCCATAGAGACAGAAAGTGTATTAGTGGTTTTCAGGCTTGAGAAGAAGGGGGAAATTTGAGTGACTGCTAATCAGTATGGATTTTCTTTTTGGGAATAATAATGTTCTGGAATTCAATACTGATTATCACTGCACAACTTTGTGAATGTACTACAAACTATTACTGAATTGTATATTTTACATGAATTGTATCTCAATAAAGCTGCTATTTTTAGAAAAATAATTGCTGATTTGGCCACTCCACATTGTATACACACTTCAAAACCTCATGTTGTACATGATATACGCAATTTTTATTTCTCAGTTAAAAGAGTATTGTTCCCATTATAACAACAACAAAAAATCACAACATGCTCTTGTCTGATCTTTGCTATCTCTACAAACTGCCTATTCTGAGGTAATATGACACCAAATTAACAGTCATTAGAGTTGAATCTGGATTTAAACTAAAAAGTCCAAGGTTCCTAAAAAGTCCAAGGTTCCTAAAAATGTACATTATTAATCAAAAAATAGCAAAGTACGTATATGTAAATTGTATCTATAGACAGAGGGACACCAGTGGAGATAGGTTGGGAGATGGCCACCTAGTTTCCTTGCATGTTTCCCAGCAATTAAATGTTTCCTAATGATGATAAAATAATTAATGTTGTCAATGCCATTGAGTATGTAATGTCAGGTAGCTCCTAAGACTTATGGTTAAAATACACAATGAACAAACTTAGAAATTCTTGTTATTCTAGGACCTAGCCGACAGCAAACAGTTGCTTATACTACATGACACAGTTTAACTGAAGGCAAAGATCCTATAATACAGTATTATATTATATATAAATGCTGAACTACTGCTTAATAATATTAAATAAAGTCTAGAACCTATCTGTAAAACCATGATATCTTACCACAGATTTGGTGAAGTCAAAATCTCCAACAATTCCTTGTTCACGGTTTATAGCAAATACATTGTTCTGATGAAGTGATCCATGAATTATATCAGCCTTATGCAATGTATACAGGCCCTGGGCAACACCTTTCATGACCTTTAAAGCTTCCTATAGATACGTACACACAAAACAAGTGAGGAAGTAGGCAAATCATTTTAATCTTGAAACTTTTCTCTGATTAAAAAACTGCTCTAGAAATGAGTAAAGTTTCCTCCAAATGAATCTTTAATAAGAATACAGCATAGAGAAAGAATTAAAGACCAGATGAAGCCTTGATTTTGTAATGGCGACACTGTGTGTGTGTGTGTGTGGGCACCAGGGACCAGTTTCATGAAAGACAATTTTTCCACGGATGCGGGGGGGTTGGTTTCAGGATCAAACGGTTTCACCTCAGATCACAGGAATTAGATTCTCATAAGGAGTGTGCAACCTAGATTCCTCACATGCACAGTTCACAATAGAGTTTATGCTCCTGTGAGAATCTAATGCCTCCACTGATCCCACAGGAAATTGAGCTCAGGCAGTAATGCTTGCTCACCGGCCACTCACTTCCTGCTGTGCCACCCTGTTCTTAATAGGCCACAGATTGGTACCAGTCTGCGACCTGGGGTTTGAGGACACCTGTTCTATTATCTCAAAGAAGACTTGGATTACAAATACCAACCATGTAATGTACCTATAAGAGACTGAAACAGTGTTACTCCATAAGAAGAATCAGGGCCTCCTTCACTGTTATTACTAATCCTAAATTTACAATGATAAAAATAAAAGCTGCCACTTAAGCACTTATAATACCAAGTGCTATATGAGGCAGTTCACATACAGCACAGCTTAGTAGTTATAAGCTTGGGCTTTGGAACCAATTTCGAGTCCCCTCTCTACCTCTGGCTAAGGGACCCTGTGCAAGTCACTTAATCCCTTTAACCCTTTTTCTCATCCATATAATAACTTCTATCACAGGTTTGATGTGACAATTAAATAGAATACCATGAGTCAAAATTTTACAAAGTATATAGCATGTAGTATGCCCTGAATAAATATTAGGTGTTATTTTCTCATTTAATACATCCATGGAAATAAATAGTGCTTTGTACTTACTTCTGAATTTAAAGGCATGCTGGCTTGAACAGTACTCAGGTTTGCCCTAGGGTAGTATGGGACCATCAGGTAAGCCATAGGATCGGACTAAGAAGCAAAACAGAGAATGTGACTCCAAGTTAAAACTTCAACGTATTTTAGCATACATTGATTCTATAGCATAATTTTTGTTTTATGTTAAGGGGAATGAACTGCTGCTCTAAAACCTGGAGTTTAAACTTATTTTAAATAAAATGGTTTCTGCAAGAGATAAGCATAAGAACTTTACCTTACATAAAAACAGGAATATTAATGGTAGTAACCCTGACTCTTCTTCAGCTTCTCTCCAAGCTCTATGGTAGGTGGCTGCTCTCTCAATCACCTTGGCTTCTGTGTCAACATCCACAGAATAGCCCTTGTACCAAAAAAAGAGGCACTGGTAATTCCAAGATGAAAATCTCATTATAATTATACACCATTCCAATTTAAACATAATTCATTAAGTTAAATAAAATCTAATTTTATTTTTTAATTTCATAAGTACTTTTCTATCTTCTTTGAATGCTACAATTTGGAAAAGGAAAGTGTAATTCTACCTATAGCCTGCTACACATTCTAGAATGTGTAGCAACTAAGGCCAAATTAATTATCTTATTATCATGATTAACAGTTTCCCAGACCAATGAAAAGAAATTCAGGAGCAGAAGATTGTACTGACAACACAGCTGATATTTCAAGGAGAAATGTAAGAAAATGAAGAATTTTAAAAAGATATTGGATGAATATAATAAGTTCACCCAAAAAAAGGAAAGCATATCCTATTAAGGACATATTCTATTTAGGGAAATGAGGGAAACTTTATTGATTTTTTTTCATGTGAGATAAAGCTTTATTTAATGACCTTTTTAAATAATTTTTTTTATTATTACTATACTTTAAGTTCTAGGGTACCTGTGCACAACGTGCAAGTTTGTTACATAGTTATAAATATGCCATGTTGGTTTGCTGCACCCATTAACTCGTCATTTACATTAGGTATTTCTCCTAATGCTATCTCTCCCCCTGCCCCCCACCCCACGACAGGCCCCCATGTATGATGTTCCCCGCCCTGCGTCCAGGTGTTCTCATTGTTCAATTGACGGAAACTTTAAAAGTAAAAATTAGCTCTGGCAACCAAACTACAAGCACAATTATCATGCCAGTCAACTTATATACTTTAGAAAACTAACAGTGAGGTTTTTTCTTTCTTGAAATGTAACAAGCACCACTATCCTTTATGCTGCTGAATCTCCCACAAGTAAGAACAATTTAGGCTTACCTTTAACAGAATTATCTGCCCATTAACCTCAGAACATACCAAAGGACGCTTGCTGCTAAGTTCCTTCATGGGCTCAGCATCAAGAAGATCTCGTTCCAAGCTCATTGTAAGGAGGCCACCAGAGTTCTAGGCACAAGATTTTATGACAGTTGAAGAATCCAAACAATCCCAGCACTTAAAAATCATAAACATAATTAGTTACATGCTATTAAATGACTTGGACATATCAACTGTACTGGAAAAACCAATAAAATTAAAATCTTTAAAATTTTGAATTTTCTCTAGTTCCTGGTTCTTAAACTCCTCCCACCCAAAGTGTAATCACCATACATTTAACTGCTGCTATAATTTTAGAACAGATTCAGGAAATGAATAGAATTATTAACCAGATATGCATCCTAGGATCCCTAATGTTTACTTGAAAAACCACTTATGTTTCCTAAAAATACTAAAGTAACAACTGATTAGGAGCAGGGTGAGGAATGAAGGACTATATACTGGGTTAGTGTACACCGCTCAGGTGATGGGTGCACTAAACTCTCAGAAATCACCACTAAAGAACTTATCCATGTAACCACAAAACACCTGTATCCCAAAAACTCTTGAAATAAACATTTTTTAAAAAACAAAAAATAAATAAGGTAAAATAATGACAAAATTGTAGTTGTCAACTGGGAAAGATTAGTCCAAAAATTATGACTACCATGAAGTAATTCTAACACCTCTGCCCCTGTTTGGAGTCCTCAAAAGTGAAAATGGCTTTCAATAACTAATTTTACTAGATATTTCTGTTACTTTTTAAAAGGAATAATTTTTCACACTAAAATATGATCATCAACATTTTAAAGCTAAGTTTTACTGTGGTGCAGTTTCAGTAAGGGGCACTGTAGAATTGTTTTCGGGGTTTTTTCTTAAGTTTTGCCAGTACATTTACGTATTCTACAAATATAATCAACCTACAAAAAATTCCTAAGTATACATTACAGTTAAACATCAGAAAGCCACTAAAGGCTTCCATAAACCATGAGTCAAACCTTTTATAATCTTCTATAATAAAGTAGATCAGCATATTTTTAAATATTAATTTTCAAGTCCTATGTGGCAGTACATACTCATTTGCCCACACTGCGTAAGATAATCGCTAAGTTAGAGGCAAATAGTTGCAAAGAAAACTGCACATCATTTTAAAGTCTAGTCTGGAAAGAGTTTAGAGTAATTATTTAAGTTAGGGAACTTTAATCTTAAATATTTTTTAGAATAAACTCACATGTCTACACAAATATCCCTCTCTGTTCCATATTTAAGCCATTATAATGGACTTAATGACAATCTTAATGAATAAATACCTCATCTAGGCCCTCACCGTAGAAGGCAATATACATGGTAGGACTAACAGATTCTGTCCTGAGACCCAGTGTTTACTAATCCTGCTCCATATGACCCCTATCTAATATGCTGATCTCCAGCTTTTGAATCCTGCCTGCGTAGAAAACCATACCCACCTCAACATCTCCACTTTAGCCAACCTCTCAGGAATTTTTTCCCAGAATGCTTTAACTTAAAAAACACATTGTGCTCAAATCCCTCATGGCTAGCAATATCTTGTTTTTATCCTAACTCTTGAAGTAGCAGTTAAAATTTTATTTTGTCATTTCAAACAATAAACACCTACAATTCAAATAAGTACACCTATAATTCAAATGAAATGTACTGAATGAGGATAAGGAAAACAGAAAAATAGATAATGCAATTTAACATAAAAATAAAAATATATACCATGCAAACATTAAAGGGTCATAAGAAAAAGTTCTAATACCCATAAAATATTCATCAGGAATATTTTTATTAAAAAGATACTATAAGTTTAACACTGACACAAATTTAATATTATCACTTTTCAACACTCTCTGCATAGTAGTAATTCTCAAGGGAAACAAAGTTTACCATGTATTTGAGTAACCCTATTTCAGGATGAAGCAGAGGCAGCTCAGGGAACCATTTCTGTGCCAAACTAGTCAGCATCTCCTAAAGTTTTTAAAAAAAAAAAGTTTTTAACTGTAGATCAATATATATTCAATTTTGACATGTTGCTCTTCAGGAAAATATATCAGCATCTACATTATAACATACCAAGTAAGACACATAATCACTGTTTCTGCCTTCTACTTCAAGAAATAACAAGTGAAAACCAAGACTCACCTTGCGTCTGCTAAAGCAAATTAAATATGACCTGAGAAGGACTCTGTGCTTCTATATTTGAGTCCTTCTGGATGAACTGCAACCTAGCTTAATAGGCAGACAAGACTGAAAATCTAACTTAGCAGTATGCACCTATAACAATAGCTGAGTCTTTGCCAGTCCCAGCAGCCATACTTCAACCACCTATCGACTGCTAAGTGTTCAAGCTGCGTTCAAATAAGGCAAACGCCAACCTGTAACCAATACAGTTGTTCTTGTACGTTGCTGCCGATTTCTGTAAGTCACTTCCCTTTTTTTGTCTATAAATTTGTTCTAACCACAAAGCATCCCCAGAGTCTCTCTGAATCTGCTGTGATTTGGCTGTCCAATTTGCAAATTGTTCATTGCTCCTTTAAATTTAAGTTGGCTGAAGTATTTTTTTAACCCATCTAAACTACCATCTTACTAACGGAAGAAAAATTTAATTACCAATTTTAAGCTTTGGATACATACATAAGCACAAATCTTGCAAGGTCAAAGTCCTCACCCACTTCCAAACTAAAATGAAAATGTCTGATAATATATCAATTTGAGGCATAAAACTGTCATTATTTCTCAAAATATTAAGAACACAGTGACATTTTAAAATAACAGCTGTTTTGTTAAGAGAAAAATTTTAAAGCCTGAGAGAAAAAATACATAGCTCTACATAAGTAACTTTGAAATAAATGTGAAAATAGAGTATCCTCACAAAAGAAAAGCCACTTATCACATATTTATTAAGCAAAACTTCTAAACACTTGTCAAATCACTGGAAGATAGCTATTTTAACCCAAGGTCAATAAGGTATTTACATATACTCAGATGAATTAGCTAAATAAAGCATGACACATAAAATACCTATTGTTTTCATAGTTTTAATATTTTTACTTTTTTTTTTTTTTTTTTTTGAGACAGGGTCTTGCTCTGTTGCCCAGGCTAGAATGCAGCAGCATGATCATAGCTCAATGCAGTCTCAACCTCCTGGGCTCAAGCAATCCTCCTGCCTTAGCCTCCAAAGTAGCTGGGCCTACAGGTACATGACACCATGTACCTAATTGTTGTATTTTTTGTAGAGATGGGGTCTCACCATGTGCCCAGGCTGGTCTCAAACTCCTGGGCTCAAGTGATCCACCCACCTTGGCCTCCCAAAGTGCTGGGACTACAGGTGTCAGCCACCATGCCCGGTCAGTATTTTTCTTTCAAAGTGCTGCTTCTTAACTAACTTCTTCCTGGTAACATCTCCCAGATATAAAATACAATATTCTTCCATTTTAAAGAAAAAATACAATGATTTATTTCCCCAAGCTCACAAAAATCAGTGGTAAAATAGAGACTTAAAAGATGTAACTTCTTCTGCCCCCAAAACCAGGTAGTCTTATTTTGTTACATTCAACTAAATTATGCTGCTCATTAATGTTTACATTGCAACATTATGGGAAAATGATGTTGATATAAATTTTGTGTAAGGAAAAGGTCTTTAGGTTTTATGTTAAACAGAAAAAAGGCAATATGCAAAAGTGTGTCTGTGCTATAATCTCAATTCTAAAAACAAGCAAAAAAAGACTAAGAGAAAGTCAAAAGTTAACAATGATTACTACTGTTACCACTGAGCGGAAATATTACAAGTGATGTTTTTCCTTCATTACAATTTTCAGTTATTTCCACACTGGTACAATGGTCAGAATATTTGGTCATGTGAAATTTATTTCTAAACTTACAAAAATCTTACTAGATCAATATATATATAAACTTTCTACATAATACCTCTAGCCCTGAGATTACAGTCCACCTCATAAAACAGATATTTAAATTTAATTTCTAGAGTAAAATCTAAAGTAATACTTCAAAGAATCAAATACTTACATATTCCTCCCTCTCATGATAAATTTCCTGAAAAACATTATTGCGCAGCTGAGTTATTTCTTCTTTTATTTTCTCAATTTGAGAGCCATCAGGGTCATCTGACTTGAATCAGAAAGAAAAAGTGTTTTTTATTAACACAGAGAAAACAAGTCTTCCTTTAAGAATTCAAGTTCTGTAGTAAATTACTCTGTGTGGTTTCTATGTATCCTTCTGTACCTAGCACATAAAAGACCCCCCTAATATTTGCTGAATTAACTTAGGTCAATTCATTCTAACAGTGACTTTTCTGAAACCTAGAAAGAGGAGTTATAAAAAGTAAAGACATAAAATCAATTACATAGATTTTTCTTGTCTCTTCTGCTGTAGATTTTCTGTAGGATAAAAATGGCCAACTGCCATTCAAACAAAAGAAATATTAATAATAGCAACCAGAATACACCTGAATTCCCTAGAATTGTCTTCTACATGAGATTTGGTTCAAAACAAAAGGATGAGTTAATGTGTGAACTGTCTCCAGTGATAATACATAAGCCACTTTAAAAAGTATGTAAGCTTTTGTGAAAGGAAAATAAATCTTGGGAACTTTAAATCACTAAGCCAAAGGAAAAAGTCAAGCTGGGAACTGTGTCAGGCAAACCTGCTTCCCATTTTATTCCTAAATAAGATAGCTACAAATATAAAAACCCTGCATACCTTCCTCACAACTCAGTAGGAAATCCCTTATGGACCCCAGGATCTTTACCCTAAAACAGTTCTGTTGAATTTTACTCTGACAATGTAAATCGATAGCTTATTTTCTTAGGTGCAGGACAAAGGACAGAACTCTAAGTCATCATCCTTTTGCTCACCTGAGATAAATGCATAACTGATTCCTTCCTCTGATGTAAAAATGCAGATTCACTGAGCTAGCGACTATTCCTCTACCCTTCTCTCAAATTTAAATTGTGTATTTGCTGAAAGGTGATCAAAGACTAAAGAATTCAAACCATCTGTCTCTTATCTACCCATATCTTTTTAAAACTTCTTCCTCTTTCCCCAGTATCCATCCTTTCTCCTTTAAATACTGAAGCCCTCACAACCATCTCTCAGAAAAGCATAGACCTGCCTCCCAGGCATGCATCCTTAACCTTGGCAAAATAAACTTTCTAAATTGATTGATAGCTGTCTCAGACACTTTTGGTTTACACTTTAAAAGTCAGATTTCAAGGATCCGGATACTAAGATGGCCAAACAGGAACAGCTCTGGTCTGCAGCTCCCAATCAGATCTACGGAGAAGGCAGGTGATTTCTGCATTTTGAACTGAGGTACCCAGCTCATGTCATTGGGACTAGTTAGACAGTGGCTGCAGCCCACAGAGGGTAAGCGAAAGCAGGGTGGGGCGTCACCTCACCCAGGAAGCACAAGGGGTTGGGGAACTCCCTCTCCTAGCCAAGGGAAGCCTTGAGGGACTGTGCCATGAGGAACGGTTCATTCTGGCCCAGATACTACTCTTTTCCAATAGTCTTCACAACCCACAGACCAGGAGATTCCCTCAGGTGCATACACCACCAGGGCCTTCGGTTTCAAGCACAAAACTGGGCAGACATTTGGGCAGACACTGAGCTAGCTGCAGGAATTTTTTTTCATACCCCACTGGTGCCTGGAACACCAGCGAGACAGAACCGTTCACTCCCCTGAAAAGGAGGCTGAAGCCAGGGAACCAAGTGGCCCTGCTCAGCAGATCCCACGTGGAGCCCAGCAAGCTAAGATCCACTAGCTTGAAATTCTCACTGCCAGAACGGCAGTCTGAAGTCAACCTGGTTGGGGGAGGGGCATCTGCCATTACTGAGGCTTGAGTAGGCAGTTTTCCCCTCACAGTGTAAACAAAGCCACCAGGAAGTTTGGACTCAGTAGAGTCCACCGCAGCCCAGCAAAGTCTCTGTAGCCAGACTGCGTCTCTAGATTCCTCCTCTCTGGGCAGGGCATCTCTGAAAGAAAGACGGAAGCCCCAGTCAGGGGCTTATGGATAAAACTCCCATCTTCCTGGGACAGAGCACCTGGGGGAAGAAGCGGCTGTAGGTTCAGCATTAGCAGACGTAAATGTTCCTGCCTGCCAGACCTCGAGCTCTGCTAAGGGACAGACTGCCTCCTCAAGTGAGTCCCTGACCCCCATGCCTCCTGAGAGGAAGATACCTCTCAGCAGGCAGACACCTCATACAGGAGAGCTCTGGCTAGCATCTGGCAGGTGCTCCTCTGGCATGAAGCTTCCAGAGGAAAGAACAGGCAGTAATCTTTGCTGTTCTGCAGCCTCCACTGGTGATACCCAGGCAAACAGGGTCTGGAGTGAACTTCCAGCAAACTCCAGCAAACCTGCAGCAGAGGGGCCTGACTCTTAGAAGGAAAACTAACAGAATTGCATCAACATAAACAAAAAGGATGTCCACACAAAAAAAACACATCCAAAGGTCACCAACATCAAAGACAAAAGGTCAATAAATCCAACAAGGTAGATAATCCAAGAAGATGAGGAAAAACCAGCACAAAAAGGGTGAAAATTCCAAAAACCAGAACCTCTTTTCTCCTCCAAAGGATCACAACTCCTCACCAGCAAGAGAACAAAACTGGATGGAGAATGAGTTTGATGAATTGACAGAAGTAGGCTTCAGAACATGGGTAATAACAAACTCTTCTGAGCTAAAGGAGCATGTTCTAACCCAATGCAAGGAAGCTAAGAACCTTGAGAAAAGGTTAGATGAATTGCTAACTAGAATAACTAGTTTAGAGAAGAACATAGATGACATCAAGGAGCTGAAAAACACAGCATGAGAACTTCATGAAGCCTACAGAAGTATCAATAGCCAAATCAATCAATCAGAAGAAAGGATATCAGAAACTGAAGATCAACTTAATGAAATAAAGCATGAAGACAAGATTAAAGAAAAAAAAATGAAAAGGAACAAAGCCTCGAACAAATATGCGACTATGTGAAAAGACCAAACCTACGTTTGATTGGTGTACCTGAAAGTGACAGGGAGAATGGAACCAAGTTGGAAAATACACTTAAGGATATTATCCAGGAGAACTTCCCCTACCTAGCAGGACAGGCCAATATTAAAATTCAGGAAATACAGGGAACACCAAAAAGCTACTCCTCAAGAACAGCAACCCCAACACACATAATTGTCAGATTCACCAAGGTTGAAATGAAGGAAAAAATATTAAGGGGAGCCAGACAGAAAGGTCAGGTTATCCACAAAGGGAAGCCCATCAGACTAACAGCAGTTTCTCTGCAGAAACCCTAAAAAGCCAGAAGCATGTGGGAGCCAATATTCAACATTCTTAAAGAAAATAATTTTCAACCCAGAATTTCATATCCAGCCAAAGTAAGCTTCACAAGCAAAGGAGAAATAAAATCCTTTACAGACAAGCAAATGCTGAGAGATTTTGTCACAATCAGACCTGCCTTACAAGAGCTCCTGAAGGAAGCACTAAATATGGAAAGGAACAACTGGTTCCAGCCAATGCAAAAACATACCAAATTGTAAAGACCATCACCACCATGAAGAAACTGCATCAACTAATGGGCAAAATAACCAGTTAGTATCATAATGACAGGATCAAATTCACAAATAACAATATTGACCTGAAACGTACACAGATGAAATGCCCCAATTAAAACACAGGGAGTGGCAAATTGGATAAAGAGTCAAGATCCATCGGTGTGCTATATTAAGGAGACCCATCTCACATGCAAAGACACACATAGGCTCAAAATACAGGGATGGAGGAATATTTACCAAGCAAATCGAAAGCAAAAAAAAGCAGGCATTGCAATCCTAGTATCTGATAAAACAGACTTTAAACCAATAAATATCATAAATAAATAAATAAAGGCATCACATAATGGTAAAGGGATCAGTGCAACAAGAAGAGTTAACTATCCTAAATATATATGCACCCAATACAGGAGCACCAAGATTCATAAAGCAAGTTCTTATAGACCTACAAAGAGACTAAGACTCCCACACAATAATAATGGGAGACTTTAATACCCCACTGTCAATATTAGACATACCAATGAGATGGAAAATTAACAAGGATATTCAGGACTTGAACTCAGCTCTGGACCAAGTGGACCTAGTAGACACCTACAGAACTCTCCACCCCAAATCAACAGAATATACATTCTTTTCAGTACCACATCGCACTTATTCTAAAATTGACCACATAATTGGAAGTAAAACACTCCTCGGCAAATGCAAAAGAACAGAAATCATAACCAACAGTCTCTCAGACCACAGTGCAATTAAAGCAGAACTCAAGATTGAGAAACTCACTCAAAACCACACAATTACATGGAAACTGAACAACCTGCTCCTGAATAACTACTGGGTACCTAACAAAATGAAGGCAGAAATAAAAAAAATTCTTTGAAACCAATAAGAACAAAGATACAATGTACCAGAATCTCTGGGACACAGTTAAAGCAGTCTTTAGAGGGAAATTTATAGCACTAAATGCCCACGGGAGAAAGCGGGAAAGATCTAAAATCAACACCCTAACATCACAATTACAAGAGCTACAGAAGCTACAGCAAACAAATTCAAAAGCTAGCAGAAGACAAGAAATAACTAAGATCAGGGCAGAACTGCAGGAGATAAGAGACATGAAAAACCCTTCAAAAAAATCAATGAATCCAGGAGCTGGTTATTTGAAAAGATCAACAAAACTGATAGACCACTAGCCAGACTAATAAAGAAGAAAAGAAGGAAGAATCAAATAGACACAATAAAAAATGATAAAGGGGATATCACCATTGATCCCACAGAAATCCAAGCTACCATCAGAGAATACAATAAACACCTCTATGCAAATAAACTAGAAAATCTAGAAGAAATGGAAAAATTCCTGGACACATACACCCTCCCAAGACTAAACCAGGAAGAATTCGAATCCCCAAATAGACCAATAACAAGTTCTGAAATTGAGGCAGTAATTAATAGCCTACCAACCAAAAAAACCCCAGGACCAGACGGATACACAGCCAAATTCTACCAGAGGTACAAAGAGGAGCTAGTACCATTCCTTCTGAAACTATTCCAAACAACAGAAAAAGAGAGAC